GCAGTAGACAAATGTATTCCAGTGCAAGTGGTAACAATACATGTTACTCATGCCACAGATCCCTTCGTTAATGGAGATAACTGAGGCGATCAAGTTCTTTTTTTTTTAGTCCTCACCCGAGGACATACTTACTGATTTTATTTTTTTAAGAGAGAGGTGAAAAGAGGGCAAGAAACACTGGTATGAGAAACATGCATCGATCAGTTGCCTTTTGTATGTGCCCCAAGTGGGACTGAACCTGCAACTGTTCTGATGGAGAATCGAACCCATGACATTAAGATCTTTTTTTCTAAGAGTCTAAAATAAAATGTTGATCAATAACTGGTCATAAATAAGGGGGTTATTTCTGCTTATTCTTTAAATATCAAGTGTTGTTGCTATATAAACTCAAATTTCTTCTTGAAAGGGGGTTAAAGATATTAGAAATACAAGGTATATGAAGATAGCAATAAAATATAGGAGGAAAGAAAATAAGGTGTGTAGGGAGGTACAAGAGAGGTTTCTTCTAGCAACATAAAGAAAATACTCACTAACACATTGCCCTAATCTATGCAAATATACACCAAATCAGCTTGAAGACAGTACAGGAAAACTACATACATCAATATCTAAGAAATTTTCATAAGAATGGTGTTATTAATTCTGTTGTGCAAGAAAAACATCAAATGGCTAAAGCTCACTCATTTAAGTGAATGAGTTGCTACCTATAGAACATGAAACAATGAGGTTTAGGTTTACTTTGGTAATCCAGTCATTATCACTTAGGCACAACTCAAATGTCATGCACACTTAATGAAATATGCTGCCTTTTAATATCCTATCATAGTGCTGACTCAAAAATTCTTCAGGGGAATGAAAATAGATGAGTGAAAGAAAATATCAGAAAAACTGTAGAATCTACATACTTTTATGATCAAAAACTAATTTTTCAGTTAAAAATAATTTTACTTTTTTGCCAGGATGAAAAAAATATATATATAGGGTTGGCCAAAAAGTTCATTTAATTTTCTCCATTCTATGGCTCTAGTAGCACTTAGATGTCTTTAACTTCATTTGAAACAATTTATGGGTTGCAGGCCATAACCCCCAGCAACCGCACATTGATGTTTCTCTCTCTTTCTCTCTATCTTCCTCCCTTCCCTCTCTAAAAATAAATAAATAAAATCTTTAAAAAAATAAAATTAAATAAATAAATAAATAAATATAAGATTTATTTTAAAAAGAAACAATTTTGTTAGACTGCATTGTGACAGCTGTCATATCAGTGTGCATTTTTAAAACACTTATCAAAATGGGTAAATTTTTGTGCAGCCATTTTAATATGAAAGATGGAAGAAGATATGCAACATTTTTGGCATATTATGCTTTTTTATTTCAATAAAGGTAAAATGCCACTGAAATGCAAAAGTGTATGGCAAAGGTGCTGTGACTGATTGAATGTGTCAAAAGTGACCTGCGAAGTTTCTTGGTACTACTGACATTTTGGCCAAATAATTCTTTGCTGTGGGTCTGTCTTACACATTTGAAGATGTTTAGCAGAGCCTCTACCCACCAGAAGCCAATAGCAGGAGATAGCTGACATACTCAAAATATCCCAGTCAATAAAGTTACTGGTGAAAATGAAAGATGTGTCCTTTATTTTACAGAAAACTAAATGGACTTTTTGGCCAACCCAATATTTTGTTTATACTTGTAAAACGCATCCACTGTTAAAGGAGTTGATGGATATTGTATTAAACAGTATTTCCCATAGTATAAGAAAGCATTCAGTGGTAATCAGATACGCTATTAGATAACTGCATTGAATAGTGAGAAAGCTAGTCTCTTTCCAACGTAAAGGTCTTGCTATTCCTTGGGCAGTTCTTTAGCATTTGATAAATCATCCTTTTTAATATATAAAAGAGGTTTAGAGTCAGAGACTATTTTTATTTTATTCACTTTTTAAAAGATTTAATTTTTAATTTTTATAATTTTACTTATTTTTTAGAGAGAGGGGAAGGGAGGGGGAAAGAGAGGGACAAAAACTCCGATGTATGAAAGAAGCATCAATTCATTGCTTCTTGCCAGCCCACAACCCAGGGATGTGCCCTGACTGCGAATTGAACTGGCAACCCTTAAGATCACAAACCAACACTCAGTCCACTGAGCCACACCAGCTAGGGCTATTTATTTTTAGAGAAAGGGGAAGGGAGTGAGAAAGAGAGAGAAACATAGATAGGCTGCCTCCTGCAGGCCCCCATCTTGGGACCTGGCCCACAACCCAGGCATGGGGCCTGACTGGGAATAGAACCTGTGACCCTTTGGTCTGCAGGACAATGCCCAACCCAGTGAGCCACACTAGTCAGGGCTTAGTTTGTTCAGTTTACACTTATCTCTATTTGTGGCAAGAGACACTGGTTCTTCTGATATGGCAGTAGTTTGAAGTTTCTTCTTTAAATGAAAGTTTTTTTAAAAAACGTCAGTTGATCAAAAGAAAGATTCTAACAACAGCATAGGTGAAACATGATCAGAAAATTCTTCCTTGTAAATACAGAAGCTCTCGCTCTGATAAGGAATTTCTACCAAAACAATTTTCCTTCAGTTGTCAATCATGAAAATTGTTTGGATTATTTGATCATATTAATAAAATCCAATTATTATATGAGCACTCTCTTTAGATTTAGATGAATTCTTAAAGTACCATATTTTGCTGTGTATAATGAGCACATTATATATAGGATTATTTTACCCATGTATAATGCCCATCCCTATTTTTCCCTAAAAAAATTGGGCAAAAAAAGTGCACATTATACACAGCTAAATATGATAATATAGAGAAAAGTTTTATCTAAAACAGAAAAGTTTTATCTAAAGCCTACTTACTACCATACAAGCTTTCCACATTTACAACTTGAGCTGGGTAAGAGCTTTAAGAAAACAGTAGAGAAATGTATGGACATGTATGTAGTCTCACCTTGTCATTCCGAACCTTAGAATCAAGTCTCTGCTAATGACTCTGAACTTCTGGTAAGCCGAAGATGAGACTTTTCTATCATCTTTTCATTAGGATAGTACAATAACCTATTAGGATTAGTCTTGAAAAATGTCTGCTGGGGATTACAGACTTCAGATTCTTGTATGTAAACAGAGGAAACCGTGCTCTGAGAACCAATCAGGCTACAGTATTTGCACTCTATACTAGAGGTCCGCAGGGAAGACCTGCAGCTGCCAGCATAAACACATAGGCTGACTAATGCAGTTATTAAGTGGTATGAAGCCTGATTTGCATGCTTGCTTTTTTAAGTCAAATGTCTGGAACATAAAATGTATTTCTACTTAGAAACTAATTTTCTATTTAAGTCCACAATACAAGAGCAAGAATGCTATAATGATCTGCTGAGACGGAAAGTATGAAAATCTCTTTCAAGGCAGTTTGCCCTGTTCCAACTCTCGCCCCAGCCATTCAGCTTCACTGCAAGCATCTTTTCATAAGGCAGATTCAGTCTCTGCTGAACACCTGTCAGTGGCTCATCACCACTTCAACTTCTAGCCCTCCCCCAGCCTTTCTCTATGGCCTCATCTCTTACGCCAATCTCCCACCCACACCACATCCAGGCACACAACTTGTTTAGGTGTCCCTGAATATGTGACGCTTTCTCTTACTGCCAATGTGATTCCTGCAGCCTAGTACACCAGCCCCCTACTCCTTCATTTAGCTAGTGCCTACTTAATCTTTAGGTCTCCATATCTGGGCTGACTCTCCAGTAATGTCTTCTTCTTCTAATATACCAATTGTGCTAATAAAACTGTCTAGTAATTACTTCCACCATTTGTCAATCCCTCATAAACAGGATGTAATTTTCCTGTTAGGCTCCCATGAACATTCAATCAATGTTAAATGAACAAATCAGCCATGCTCTTGTGACCAGGCCAGATCTCACCTATCTAAAAAGAATCAGAAATTTCTAATGAATAAATGAGCTAAAAGCAAAGTTCATGATCTGCCTTTTTAGCTTTAAAATTTTTTTTTAATTTGTATGTATTCATTTTTAGAGAGACGGGAATGGAAGGAGGTAGAGAGGGAGAGAAACACTGATCGGTTGCCGCTCTCACAGGCCCTGACAGAACACCACACAGTAACATGCCCTGACTGGGAATCAAACCGGTGACTCTTCACTTTGCAGAATGACACCAATCAAGTGAGCCACACTGGCCAGCGACTTTTCATCTTTTTAATGATAGCTTCTATTTCCTCTTGCAGAAGGTTTCAGTCTTGGGGGAGAGTCAAATATCCTTCTCTCTTTGAATCTTGAGATCCACATTAGTTAGGTTTAGACAATGGCCTCAAGATAAGATCATCTCAATTAGGTTATTCCCACCAGCAAAAGTAAACAAGTTCTTTATACTTGGGCAAAAAGAAAGATAAAAATTGCAAGTATACACAGAAGAAATAATTTTAATGCAAATCATTGCATGTAACCACAGTCACCACTTAGACATCTGCAGAACACCATATTTTGCCATGTATGATGCACTCCTGTGTACAATGTGCACCCATGTTTCATATGCATTATACACAGATTATTATACTGCCCATGGTACATAATCATTACAGTCATGTATAATATGTACCCTAATTTTTCCCTCAAAAATGTGGGTCAAAAAGTGCATTATGCATGGCAAAATACAGTATATAGCAAATCTGTTTCCTTTAAGATGACCAAATAATTAAATATATTAAAACCTCATTTGAAAAGAAAACACTGTATGCCTTTTGTGTATGCTTGGTTAAAAAGTAAGTAACAAATGAGAAATAAGTTAACAAGAGAAAAAAACATAAGGCAATAAGGTATATAAACTAGTACTCGCTCTGTCTTACTCTGAAAAATCCTTACACTAACTAGATGTACTTTATTCACCTTTACCTTTCTTACTAAGAGTGCAAAGACAAAACTAATGTAAAACTGCTCTAGGCGCTGGGGCATACCAACACAGTTATTTTAAAATTGCAACTCCATTGCAAGCGGCACTCTGTGGCAGATGATCAGAACTGTCTGACGCAATGTGAGCTTGCTACTGCAGCACAGTCTAACCTATTCCAGCACTCTCTCCTCCATGAGACAAGCTATTGTACCGACTTAGACGGTGTTCCAGAAAAAAAGGAAAGAAAAAAAATGTGACTCCAAATCCTGATAAAGCACAAAAGCATATCCTATGTGATAATGATGTATAAACAAGACATACCTGACTTGGGAAATGTGGTAGGCCGGTGTGGGAGAGGGGGTCGCTCTACATGTTGAATCAGTTTTAAAACTGAACTTAGGCCAAGTTCTGTGGGTATGAACACTATAGGAAATTGGACTATATATTTCACTTTGTATCAGTTTTATTATATTGAAAATATGAGATATATATATTAAGTCTTGACAGGCTGGGAAAAATAGATTTTACCCTCTCTCTGTGGTGAGAAATGAATTCTCAATGTGCCAAAATGTAAAAGGAAAGTAGGGATGGCATAACACGTATGTCTTCACTGGTTTCTCTTCTTAACGGTGGCTGTACCTTACAACAGACACCATGAGGGACCTCAACTGATCAGCACATTCAAATTCTAACACGCGAGTCACAAGTACAGGGCCTAGCAGGTGCCCCAGATGGTTAGAGCACCATCCCCAACACTGTAAGTTACTAGGAGTGTTTCTTTGTCAGTAAAATAAAGCTGTTGTCAAAAATAGTTACCTCGCAGGGTAACATAAAGATGAAATAACAAAAATGACCTCTGTGAACAGTCACTATGACCTTTACGGGCATGTTTTGTTGCTACAAAATTTACAAGTCTGTAGTGTCATTTTTTTCTTGTTCAAGTAAGAAGAAAGAATGTGAAGAAGAATTTTTTCCAGGTAACCAAGTAGAAAAACAAATATCACCAATTAAATGAAATTCAGTTATCCTCTACCTGAAATTAAATTTTTATGGTAATTAATACATGTATACAGAAGTTTACTTTTAAAAAATTATACCACATATGTTATTTGAACAGAAAACACATTAATTAAAAAAGGCAACAAAAAAGGCACTCTAGGTGAAAAAATTCCATGCACTGCAATAAACATCTATAATTATCTTAGTACTCAATATACTAGGAGTACATTTTTGCAGGCTTGACTAGAAATTACAGCACAAGAAAATATACAGTATAGGGAAAATTATTCTTACTTGAATGGCATTATTTGACATTTATAACACCACAAATTTGTGATTTTTTTAAAGCAGAGATAATTATAACAATAATCCAAATCTTTACACAATTTTTTGTCTAAGAAATAAAATATTCCCAAGGGAAAACACTCAAGGTTCATAAATTTTTAATTTTTAGTTATGAACTACTCAAAACACAGAAATATAAGGCACATAAACACAGGGGAAAATTTCCCTTAAAAATACACAAGGGCAATTTTAAAGCTCTGTCTATATATTTTATGCTAATTGCTTTGTCAGAAACTCTATGTTTCTTGTACAGAGTAAGGAATACAAATGGCCAGGGCAGTGAATGGGATGCTTAATTAGACACTTCTCAATGAAACAGTAATTCAATTAGAAAACTAGGAACTTCAGTTCAATTATGACATCACACTATTTTTATATAATTACGCTGGCTGCCTAGGTTATCATTTAGAAATATTTTAGCCACAATAAAGGATGAAATTAAATATAACACTATCATCTTCTCTACAACAGAAATAAATCTCAGACCATCAAAGAAAATATACTTTTACATTTTCATTCCCTGATAAAAGAGTAGTATAAACACATGGCTTTTTATATCTCCACCAACTGGTTCTTAATTAATCTCATCACTAAATAACTTACGATTCTTATGTCTGGCAGTGAGCCACTAGTTTTTAAAGTGATAATGACAGTAACATAAACTAGTAGAGTCAGGATTGTGTGAGCAGCTGACTTCTCTCTGAAAGGTAAAGACTGACAAAAACTATTCCTCTGGCGACCAATTCTCTGACTTTATTTCATGTATACCGTTATTCTCAAATTTTAGGTTTTTGAAAAATAAGAGAGAAGAGGTAGAGCAAATATATTACAATGATAGAAAAGATATTAATTGACTCAAAAGGCCATTGACAAAGGAATAAACTTCTACTGGCAATATAAACGACTTAAAAATCAGAATTAGGCCATTTTTAAATAAAACTAACAACCACTAAACAGACTTCTGCTAAGAGAAAATTTTTACTAAGCTATTTTTTTTAAGTTTTTGATAACAGAACTTATCACCTGAATCTAGTGAGCTATAAACTTAAACCAGAGATTAATTTCAAAATTCAATTTTCCATGAAGATAAATACTTTATTCTAACTCCAAGATTTACTCCAAATTCTAAACAAGGTTACAGCATGAATTATAACATATTTATCAAAATGAAATAGGAGTAACCCATAGTCCAAGAATTCTACTTCTGCGGGTCTACTTTGCAGATTTCTACAAGTCCCAAAAGATGTGTTCCTGAGGTCAGGATAAACTGGAAATAACCCAAGTGTCAACTAATAAATGGCTATGTAAAAATACAGCATCTAAATATGATGTGTAATAAGAAGGATCAAGGACAATGTCAGCAATATATTTTGACTGACACTGAAAGGCGTCTTTGACTTCAATATTGGGGAAAACTTGCACCTATCTGCATAACAGGTATCATGTGCCAGTATTTAAGAGCTCCGTAATATTACACAGGGAGATGTTAGATGAGCTGACGTAAATGGAACGTTTCCGGGTGTAGGATTCGGTGGATAGTTTTTCTTTGGAGTTTTACATATTGTGTTGGTGTATTTGTGTTTAATTATACGTATCATTTAGAAAACCCTCAAAAGCTATATAAAAAAAGGTAAGGACAAGAGAAATGAATAAAGTATCATACCTTAAACGGTTGGTGTAGGTATCAACACAGGTCTTCATTTTGGCCAATAATGTACCAACAGAAGTTTGACACTCTGACTGTTCTTCCTCCTCTTCCCCATTCTCTGTAGAAAGGGGCAACAAGAGGGGCACCATGGACGTACAAGAGGCGATGGCTCGGAGCAATTCCAGCAGAGCTCGATAGAGTGGCACATGTCTTGCCATGTCAAGAACTGTAAAAAGGAAGCGGGGAAAAGCATAAAATGAGAACAAGTGCAATATAACAGCAAGCCCATGGCAACAGAACTTCTACTTTAATCTTAAGAGTAATTGGTTAGTTGGTAAATGGACTAATATGGATGTTTACAAAGCACCAGTGCCTAAATAATAGGCACTTTTACAGAACAAGATGTAAATCAAACATAGTGTTGGGGAGAGAACACAAATTAAGTTAACTATCTAGAATGATTAAATAGCTCAAATAGTACACTATGGCAGTAAATACATGTATTAGTATGAATTGGAAACAATGTATTTTCTTAATCCTCACCTGAGGATATAGTCATTGATTCCAGAGAGAGAAGGAGAGGGTGGGGGAGTGGGGGTGGGGAGAGAAACACTGATTGGCTGCCTCCTGTACCCACCCAAACCCGCAACCTAGGTACATGCCCTAACCGGGACTTGAACCCCCAAATTTTTGCTGTATGGGACTCCAACCAACTGAGCCACACCAGCCAAGACAAAGGGAAATACACTGTAAAAACTGAAAAGATGTGCCACTATATCTCAAATAAACCAGTGACATGACTACAGTTTATCAATAGTGTGTTTCAACAAAACAACTCAGAAAAAATGTTGACTATGCTAACTTTTAATTATAAGTTACAGTTAAATGACATTTTTTAACGCCACACACACCTAAGAATAGATACCTCACCCTGACCAGTGTGGCTCAGTTGGATGAGCATTGTCCCACAAAGTGAAAGGTCAACAGTTCAATTCCTGGCCAAGGTATATGCTTGGGTTGTAAGTTTGGTTCCCAGTCAGGACCCGTACAAGAGACAACCAATCATTGTTTCTCTCCCTCTCTTTCTCCTTCCCTTCCCCTCTATAAACAAACAAGCAAACAAACAAACAAACAACTTAAAAAAAACCTCAACACAATCTAATAAAACAATATGTATATGGAACATTAATTTGAGTGGCTTAAATATCTAGTGTCAAAATCAAATACATTCATTTTTCAAATATTTAATTTTCAATTAAAGAATTTATCCATTTTACTTTGCCTAACTTGAAAATATAGTAATTACCCTATGGAAACAAAGCAGTCAAAGATCCTAAATTATTACTCTGTAAATTATAAATCCTTTCAAGTAATTAATACTAAAACTCAATCCATAATTATTTATAACCAGTATCCTACAATTAATGTGGTTAATATGTGTATCAAAAATATTTGCCTGGTAAACTAATTTATTGAAAAGACAGTTCAATGTTTTAGTACTTATCTAATAATGGCTATTATAGAAATTACACATGATCAAAGTAGTGTTTTTTAAAGGGCTGAATTCAACATCAGGTAGAGTAAAATAATAGATGTTTTCGCCTAGAATAATCTTAAATCCTCACTAAAATGTAACTCAATAAGTAAACTAAAAAAACTATTCTTTGATACTATATATTTCAAAACAAAATATGGTTCCATTAGATCTTTGCAAATGAGATTACCGAAAAGATCTCTAAGTGAGCATACTTGTTGTCTATTAATGTTTTAGAAGTTGTTTTACTACAGAGCTATAAATTTAGTATGTAATTAGCAATAATTCCATCATATATAAGTGATGCAAGGAAAACATCAATGAGTTTTATACAAATACTTTAATAAGAATGATTTGTATCTAATGATTCATATTAAATTTTCATCTCTGCTCAATTTTCCCAATATTTAACTTTTGAATTTATACTCCTTCGCTGAGCCTCACTCAGCCAACAATTATTTGGGGATTCACATCAACCCTAGATATGCTGAACTTCGGCTAAAGGTGGCAGGCAAGTCAGCCAATAGCCCAAAAGAATGAACTACATGGAAACACATCTAATAAAGGGTAAAAAATTTCCAGCCAAGAAGTGAAGTATAAATGGTTTTTACACACTTGCTCATTTGCTCAACCCAGCTGAAAGGGCAGTCCACCGGGATTTTAAAAAATGTGGGTGTGTATACACATGCAATCTTCCA